GAGTTGCGCTTGGTAGAGAACAGATGAATGACTAGCTGGACGTTGTGATGGCTTTTGGAAGCGAGTGAACAGTGCGGAAGCACAGATAGATCATTACGGTCTGAAGAGAATGGAAATGCACGGAATTATAAGGACATCTGGCAGACGCTCAACACTCAGGGGAAAGGCGAGACGGATAAACACTCAGACAGGTACTGATGCCACTGAAATTTAAACACTTCGCTTGCTGCTGAAGATAGAAATAGAGCATCTATGTGGGTGTCCCGAGTGATATGATGTCTACTATTAATTCAACATTCCAAACTTAACACTCGCCATTTTAATGGCAAACTCTAAAGAATAAGATGTTTATTCTTTCTCATTATTACTATGGAAAAAAAGTGATAAATCGACAGCTTCTAGTAAATTTCAACAGTATACGTTACTCGTTGTGTTTTGTCATCTGTTTTTAATTTTTTTTTCGTTTATTAACTTTTTAAATGTGTGTGTTTTTTAATTTGTTTGTTTAAAGGTTAAACGCATCATTACTTCAAGAAGAGTTCTTATCACCATCGTTGTCATCTTCGTCGTTCTACTTGCAAGTGTATCACCACTCTACGTAGTCAACAAACTAGACATGAAGTTCTACCCAACAAGAAACAAAACGCTTCTGGGTCTTGTCCTGGCGGATAACAGAGCAGACGTGGAACAGATTTCATTTATAATTAATAATGTTCTTATACCAGTCAGTGCATTTATTATTGTCACTATATGTACAGTGATATTAGTCATCAACCTACAGAAGAGAACCGCTTGGAGGAGCAAGACCACAAGATCGTTGCAAGGTGATAATGTTTCCAGCCGAAACCGCAAAGCGGCAAAAATGGTGGTGATGATTTCAACACTCTTTATTGCATGTTACATTCCTGCCAGCGGTGTGTTTACAGCAATGGCTCTAGAACCTGAGTTAGCAATTGATGGGAGGTACAGAAACACACTTATAGTGATAGCAGGAATTGGTTTTGCTATTGAATCAGTGAATTCTTCTTTAAATATATTTATATATTATCACATGAGCACTAAGTACAGAACTATTTTTCGCCAGTTGTTTTGCATTTCACAAGACCGAAGTTCTTAATTTAATGATTCTTAGGTTTGAAACAATCTTTTGTCGGTCTGAAGTTGCTCTCTCTTTCAAACCTACATATGTATATATACATACATACATCCCTTAATTGTTCCAATTGCAATATGATATACCCTAGCAGTGTTATCTAAGACAGTTATTAGATTAACTTTCCGTATAGGAAAAAATTGATCTGTAAATGCCATGCAAGCTCATAGAAGCAACCCGCCTGACTGTCTGATCTGAGCCTAGAAAACATATTGCAAAAAAAGAAGTATAGCATTCAGAATTAATAGTTTTTTACTTCTGCCCCAGAGGGTCGTTATTGAATTCCTTCATATATTGTTTAAATTCCAACTCACTGAAATAGGAAAGCTTACACTGATAACGGATATGAACTGAAATTAAACAAAAAGGATCCAAACCCAATGTGTTGCAGTGTATGTATGTGGTTGTGTCAAATCTGATGCATTATTACAAAGACTGCATTGGCCATATTGTGAAGCCGAAAACAGGGATAATTGAGCCGAAGAATGGGGTAGAGTTCCAAAACTAATGGTACATGTACTAATCTGGTTATGTGTCCGTCTATGGGTCATTTCACATAAATACTAATATAACATTCTTTGATAATACTAAGTATTCCATCAAAGGACTGTCGTGTGTGTGTACTTAATTATGTTTTACGTAATCTATGTGGTAGAGCGCCTAGTGAGATTTATCGAAATATGTAAACCAAAACGTTGGAAACAGTGGAAACAATACTTCAGAGACATATAAGAAATGAGGAGGAAAAAAAGGGGGGGGGAGGGATAGAATTTTCAGTCACCAGTGATGAACTAAGAATAATACTAGATGCAGTACCGATAAATGAGATCATAGAACATGAAATAATCAAATGATTTGGTCATCTAATCAGACTAGAACAAATTAAACCAGCAGCTAGAGAAAACTTAATGGAAACAAGCACGAGACCAATTAAGAAAGAAATATGGGGTGGAAGACAAAGAGACGCTACCGAAACGCAATATGACATTAACACAGGCCATGCAGGTTCTGTGCTAAGGCAGTGGCTTCAATCATTAAAGAAGTCCACATTGCATGCAGCCAATTTTACTTCCGTTTTGGGATTACAAGAGTCGGTTGGAATGAAAGAGCTGATACATTGATGAATCCGTTATCATTTCACACGGTCAACCTAATAATAAAGCTGATATTATTAATGCTGTCTGAGAAATGGGAGGACGATGGGGGCAGTGAATCCATATCACTGGCCAGAATGATAGACCTGGGAGTTAAGATCGGCATTATCAAAAACGAGACGCACACCACGCACATAAGAGGACTTGTTAATCAACATAGAACTGGTACTATTAGCAATCAGATGATTGGGTCTATACTGATTTGATTATCTGAGCACCTTCATATATGTCTGGAGTTTAATGATGATAACCCATCTAAATAACTAACAAACTATGTAACTAACAAATGCCAAAAAAACAACAAGAGACATTTGATGTTGTTTACGTATATTATGATGGTTTATTAAAAAAAATAGGTAAGCAATGCTCGCAACTGTATTAAAAACTGATGTAATAAAGAGAACGATCTGAGTAGCAAACAATGCAGATCCCTTTTTATGCCTTAGGCGCATCGGGCATATGGGAAGAGCACTCATATTTTTACAGACCATTGGCACTAGGTGGGTAATGCGGTCAGCATTACGCCGGCCGTCTTTACTTCCCTAGGACATCAATCCTGGTACCCATTTTAGCATGGGTCGACCTGCGAGGCCCCATACCTTGATAAAAATCCACGCAGCCAGCAGTACGTTTCTATCGCGGTACGTTGGAATTACGAGTCGGACTCGCAAAGCCTAAGCCACGGACGCCGCTAAAGTGAACAATGCCGTACACTAAACAGTTAAACTCAGATATTTTGGTTATTCAGAGCATAAGTGAAATTTCTGTGTGGAACGTATATTAAAAAGAAAAAAAAAAAAATACGCAGTTTTCTGAATAAACAGGATCAAGAAAATGTCAGTCAATATTTCAAATGTAAAGCCATATTATATAGACACTACACGAATTCAGATGTCAGATGTAATTTTTCACAAACTTTACTTTTTTGATAGCACACATAATCTGGGGATTAGCTTCTACAGGTGTCATTATCTTGTATGGCAATTTATTTAATTGTGTAGTCCCAGTTATACAATGTGCAATCTTTACATTAGTTTCTATAATTTAACAATATGATAATTGTTTGTATTATTTGTCCTGAAAGACTGACTATTATCCCTTGTCATTATTGACAGCATAAGTTTACTCACATCGGGAATACGTGTCTCTATATTTAATCTCAAAAGAGAGTTTCACATAAATTTGTTTCACGCGGTCTTGAAACAGTAATTCTGAACAGAATCCATATCTGTAGCTAGTTGTAAAATACATTCCTTAGGTATTGTACATGCATGTAATTAAACATACATTTTTTTTTATGTATCTAATAATTAGCAACCTAAATCAGTCGGAATTAAAATAAATAAAGTATGCACATTAAAAAAAAATTTAATGACCGGAAAAAGCGTTGTTTGATTGATTTGAGAATGTTCGTAAGATATATGGCATATTGTTATTATTCTCGTACAGCCATGGGTGTGCAAGTATCAAAGACACAATTATAGCAAACTTGTAGGTCGCTCCCCGACTTGAAGTCACAAAGTTATTTTCAAAAACACAACAGCGGGGTTGTATCGCTGCGAGTAGTTTTACTTGCAAGAATGTAAAAATTACCACCAGGCAGACTTAAACCAGAACACTGTAAAGACACCTTACATTTCGCTAGTAGTTCCGAGCAAGGGCGCAGTCACTAAGAAAATGTGGGAGACCCAGCACTAATTATACATATTACTAGCTCAAGGTGCCCTATGCCTTGTTTCTGGGCGCAGTAATGATAATTATGTTATTATCATCAGCATCAACGTAATTATGTGTTGAATGGCAAACAAATATACGTGCATACTGAAAACATATTAAATGTGTAAACACATTCTTATAAATTATATACATGGTTGTGGGGTGGGGAGGGTGAAGGGGTAGGGAGGGGCGATTTAGCCACTCAGTCCGTCTTGGAACCTGTATAGGGTGGAAGTCTTTGTGGCGAAGTGCTTCAGCCGTTGGCTTCCCGCTCTGACGGTGATAGGTTCCTTTCACTGTTGCACTGTTCAGTTCACGAGTGCAACTTTTTTTACTAAGATCCCTTGGGTTCGTCGTCCGAGCTACAAAATTTGTGCTTTGTTCGATGGTCTAAGCAGGCAGCTAGCCGTTCTGTGGAGAGAGATCGAGCCATATTGGATAAAACCCGGAGCAATAAAGACGATCCTCTCGAATGTAACCTTTAACCTTCAGAGTAGACATGGTGCAACCCGTTTGGGAGAGTAGAAGAAGGGGGGAAGGGGGGGGGGGGAGATTTTCGAGGTGAGCGGGCGCCCCTATTTGAATTTTCTGTTGTAACACAAAACAGCACACAACAACGAGAGATATATAGTGTCAATGTTATACGATAGCCTCAGTGGCTATAAAACTCAAATTCAAAAGGATATACAAGTAAGTAAAATAAGTAAAGGACTCTCCTCCACGACTTCAGACGTATTGGGCATATAGGGTTAGATCTACACTTTATAGTCAATGATCACTGGGTCAGTGATGCGGTTAGCATAACGACGTCGGCAGTCTTTACTTCCTAAGTCAAGACCATATAACATTATACAACTGAATTTAATATTTTGACAATGTTTTCAATACAGAACATTAAAATGTTGCATTTGTAACTGTTGTTAAATGACAAGTCGCTTATGCTAAACTAAGACGTGAACATATTTATTGAATTAAATATGATTGGAACCCACCAATCGGCAGCAGAAAATCCATTTAATAATATCACAATTCGAGTGACACCAATAGGTGGCTTGTTAAGTGATGAGTTCACGGCAATATGTCAGTGGATTATATTTACTCTAATTTGTCAGATCATTGATTTATTTGGAATTGCAACAAACATTATAAATATCATCTGCTTTGTTAAGCAAGGATTCAATGACCCCGTCAATATCAGTCTACTAGGTACAGTATTTCAATTGGCACCATTATAGTCATCATCATCCTTGTCATCGTAGTCATTATTATCATCATATCATCATTATCATCATCATCATCACTAATATCAGATATTTTAAAACTGTGAGAGGAACTTTCAGCCAAAATGGCGGATGAGTAGCAGAATTTTAAGCTTTGAAGTTATTTTTGCTTCCGACAGCACTTTGTTAATGCAGTTTCTACATAGAAACGGAGGTTTATGGTTTCGCTGGCTGTACTACTGAGTTTAGTGCTCGGTGCAGCCTTGGATGCTGTGTTTTACACGTGGAATGCCTTTCACTTGTGAAGCGGCTCAGTCGTAGTATTCAATATGGCCCGTAGCTAGTTTACGTGCGGGCTGTTGACATACCTTTATGTAATAATTCTACGTGTTATAGTCAACTTATCGTGCGTGACTACTTCAATCATCAACAAACTGCATTTTTTTTGATGCTGGCTTTGGTGCCTCTAGCAACTGCTATATGCATGTATTTCGATGGCATATTTCTGGATTGTTCCTGAACTAATCGTTTGTTCACATATTTTTTAAACAAGCGACAGTGAGGGACATTTCAATTGATTTGCACTGGCACAGGAAAGGAGTAAGTATAAGAAAACCCGAATGTCGTGATGTTGAAACCTCGACTAAAACTAAAACTAAGATTAAGAGAGCAGCTTGCCACGGACACTTACACGGGGTGAGATTTAGCGAATGGCCCCGCTGCGACTAAGCTTTGTAATCAGATCTGCTTACGAGGTATTACCCTCTAGCGCAAATATACTGAAATGGCATGTGACCACCGACCGGACATGCTCCTTTTGCAGAGCGAAGCAGACCGACGAGCATGTATTGTCCGAGTGCAGGAAAACCTTAGGCCAGGGACGATACACTTGTGTAACAGGGAGACATTATCGCTTGTTTGTTAGGAGTTAGATTATTGCACAGAGCCGGGATGTATCGAGATCAACAAGTTTTGGTAACCTTCTTTTCGCGTCAAAACTAAATATTGACGTCATCACTTGTTTGTCAGGAGGTAGAATTTTGCGTATTAATTAATGAGAAGAAAATCAACAGTTTTTAGCAACAATATTTTGTAAATAGTATTTAACTTCATTGTTGACATGCCCTTATCAGAGAGAACGTGGTAGTACTTTTTTTTTTTAATGAGTCTTTATGAGGTCAACTTTTAATTTAACTACGATATTTGCGCAGAATAATCTGATGCAATTGAGATATAATTATAAAGTCCCACGTGAGAACGCACACAGTAAACATGTTGAGAAGTACTAGCATTCCAGCATCTAAGTATAAATAATGAGTGAGAAACCACTAGGGTAATTCTTCAGTCCACAAGACTCAAGAGAGAAGGGCCAGTCATATAGAAGAATGCCTTCAGTCTACAAGACCTAGAAAGGCGAGGGACCAGTAGGCTGGACACTCATAGAGCACTTTCAGTTGCAGAGATGCCAGTTCAACACTAGAAGCAGAAAAACCAGTCTCACGGAGCCTCGAAGACAGACACTAGAGAAGATACATGAAATATGACATCGAGCTACAGAAACAACACACACGATACCGGGATCCATGGTCAACAGAGACACCTTAGGTAGGAACACTACTGAGATGTTAGAGTCGACATTCAATCCGTTAGTACCAGACAGCACTAGAAGCCATGTGGCAGTTACAGTCACTAAAACCAAAGTAACTAGAGATGAAGAACACGACGCGAACCTACGAGTATTTAGCCATAGAGAGAACACAGCGCCTTTCAGAATATCATTGATGTTTATTTGTGGCATTGCTGATGAATCACAATAAAGACAGTATAGACAAGAACAGTTGTTTCCAGACATTTAATATTTCAAGCATGCAGCTAGCAAGATATCATCATCATCCCCACTACGACACCACCATCTTTCTACGTGTATAATCTTCCAATCGACTCCTCCTGTAGCAAATCTAAAGAAGAACCTGGGTGTGACATCAACGTATGCAACAAAGAAGAGAGCTGTGCTACACTTGGCCATCACACACCACCCCACCCTTTCCTCATGCGCTTCATCAAGACTGGGCAGATTTCTCAAGGAAATTCAACAAAATCGCATTTGCTGCATCGATACTAGACTGTACGAGGGAAAGGTTACTGGGGGTGGACCTGCATGGTTTCGAAAAGTATCCAGAATCGATCAGAGAGACCAGCCTGAGACCGGACATTGTCCTGCACTCTGCGGAGAAACGTCAGCTCATCCTGTTGTCTCTGAGGAGAGATAAAGCGTACACAGTGAAAATCTTTCGCCGTCGATGTAGGCCAAAGAGGTTTTTGTCTCCACATCCACTTACAATGTGCTAAAGCAGCTGGACTTAAAATGAAATAAGCGTAATGGGCCATTTAAGCAGCTGGTCGAAGCTGCAGAGAGAGCTTAAAGCTAGCTCTGGTTACAACAAAATGTTAAGGTAGGTGAGCGTCCGTAGGCTTGCCTGTGCCCCTAGTAGGAAACAACGTAACATCCCTTCTGAAGACAAAGCCCCAAGTATCCGCCAGTGTCTCTCCACTAACTACTAAGTCTGACATATGTCCAACAATAGAACAACCGCCCGAGCGAACCACGTTAGAGACATTCTGTGTGTGTGTGGGGGGAGTTGGGGGAGGGGGTGTACGACAAATATCGCTTTTTACTCGGTCGTGGAGGAAGGCGGTCAATTTGCTACCGCAGCGACAATACAACACTGATAGAACCAAATGTCACCAGATGAAAGCCGATCAATTCACTTTCTGTTACTTGATTACTTCACAAATCTCACTAGTACCTGTAAAACTCCAGTCTCGTCCATACGTGTCCGATAAACGCAGCTCGAGATACTGGAGCCTGGCGTCATGACCCAGGTTGGCCACCTTCCGTGATTGTTTAGGATGGTAACGGGCAGAAAGAATTGTCGACGGAGGATCTTCTACTGATCACCGGTAGACTCCTGCTGTGTATGTTCACCTGTGGAGTTTTCTTATTTTTCTTGTATTATGATACTACCACTTCTATAATGACAGTTATATGCTGCGTGTTCTAGAATCGGCAAATCAGACTATCTGTATATCTGAGAGGACAACGATTGTGATATTACCCATATTAGACATGTGCGCGTTTAATTTTTTACAAACTGATGAATACATAAAGTAAAGTTAAAAAAAAAAACCTAAAGGACATTTTCCCACGCCTTCCTTGCGTATTGGGTATTTGGGCTAGACCTATATTTTATAGACCAAACAGCGCTTGGGGTGATGTGGTCAACCTCGCGATGGCCGGCTTTACTTTCCAAGACTGTACCGGGCACCCACTGAAGGCTGGGTCGATTTAGGAGCCAAGGTAATTTTTGACAAAATGTCCTTTTAGCAACCGAACCCACGACCTTCCGATCCGCAGGCGAAATGTAATACGTGCGTATGTTATTTCACAAATCTCATTTAATAGCCATTTAAAATAATTCAAAAGTAATGCCAATTCTATTCCAGGACTTGCCCTAGCTGACTTAGGTTGTTTGATTACTCTGGTTTGGACCAACATATGCTATACGCCAGCTTTCAGCGATTACGATCTACCTTTCGACACTATAGAATTCCAATACCTGACAAGTGGAATGCCTCACACAACATTCACTAGAATCACTGGCTGGATAACTGCGATAATTACTCTAGAGAGGTGTCTGTGTATAACAATGCCCTTAAAGGTGAGTCTGACACATTTACTGCATTATTTCGAACAGATTAATACATTTTAAAATTATTTTTTTTAATAAATAAAAAAAATAATAATAACAATGCCTTTTAAGGTTAGTCTGATGCATTTACTGCATAATGTGTTACATTTGAGGACAAAATAACTATAAAATAAATTGTAAACGTTTAATGATATATTCGTGGTTCAATCAGTTTGCACTACTTTTTTTTTTTCCTAATGTTATAATCTCAAGAATATAATCATAACCTTATTCTTCATACCCTATTATTCAGGATAGCCGATTGAAAGGAGGAAAATCTTGGGTGAGTCAAGCTGAGGATATTATTCAACAAGTTTGTTTAGCTGAGGATATAGAACCTGGTGATGAATTGGTACGCGTGCCAGCAGAGTGGGTACATCCTATTCAGTTTGCATAAAACTAGTATCACCTCCCAGTGTCTGTGGTTTAGGTGTTGCGAACGCGCTTTGTAATACGGGTGTTTATGGTTTTATCTCAGCTGCAGGCGATTTGCCAGCTGAACGTCTTGCCTTAGTTTCGACAGTGGTATGAAGACCCGACCGTATAGTTCAATGACAAACTTCTTCTTTCTTCTTCTGCCTTTCAATCCTCCAATGGAGGATAGGCCCTCAACCAACTCACACTCCTTCGCTATTTCATGGAGCTCTCCCTATGTCCTCCCCATCTTTCTAACTTCATTCTTCAGTTCTCTTGTCCATGCGTTTTTTGGACTTCCTTTTTTCCTATGCCCCTGTGGGTTCCAATGCATTCTAGTTATGCTGCAATGACAAACTACATAACATTAAATGTGTCACACACACACACACACACACACACACACACACACACAAACTGGAATTGGTTCTACAACGTCACGTAACTAATAACCAGCAACGTAACAATAATTTTTTTTTGTGTGTGTTAAAGGAAGAACTTGAATATGTCATGTCTAAACCCCCCCCCCCCCCTCCCCCTCCCCTCCCTTACCAAAAAATAAATTGCACACTATAGTTAACGTGTTTACGTTTTATTGTGTTCACAAGGTTAGAGGCATCATTACACCTAGAAGAGTTCTGATCATCATCATTGCCATCTTTGTGATTCTACTAGCAAGTGTCTCTCCTCTCTACGTTGTCAACAGACTGGGCATGAAGTTCTACCCAATGAGAAACAGAACACTTCTGGGACTTGTCTCTGTCAATAGCAGACAAGCCGTAGAAGAAATTTCCTTTGGAATTAATAATGTTTTTATACCGTTTAGTGCATTTATTGTTGTCAGTGTATGTACATTTATACTAGCGATCCAACTACAGCAGAGAACAGCATGGCGAAATAAGACCACAAGCTCGTTGCAAGCTGATACTATTTCCAGTCGAAATCGCAAGGCGGCAAAAATGGTGGTCATGATTTCCACACTCTTTATTGTATGTTTTATTCCAGCCAGTGTTACTTTTGCAGCTATGGCAATCGAACCTGAACTAGCTATTGATCGGAGGTATAAAAACACACTTATAGTGGTCGGCGGGTTAGATTTCGCACTAGAATCAGTTAATTCTTCTGTGAATATTTTCATTTATTATCATATGAGCACTAAGTATAGAACTATTTTTCGTCAACTGTTCTGTATGTCACCAGACAGAAGTTCTCAATCTGATGGCTCCTAAGTTTGAAACAGTGTTTTCAGGGTATGAAGTTAAACAACGAGGATTAAACAAAATAATGTGAAAGGTATTGCAATGTCATACACAATATACACATACATACAATGCAATAATATTTTAGATGAAATCATACACAGAAAAAGACATTAGTATTAATTATTATTATTAATTATTATCATTATTATTATTATTATTATTATGTGGTGAGTGGCAATTAAATATAATGAACTGTTTTTTTTTCTCAATGTTATCAAATACTTAAAAAGAGATGGCCTGTACATTGTTAAGGGAATCGCCTTAACCTCATGTGAAGTTTTTTTGTTTCTGGCGGGGGGGGGGGAGCTGGGGAGGGAGGGGATGGGGTAGGGTGAGATGTGAGGGCCCTGCGCTCCGAAGATATTTGGAAAATAGGCCCTAGACTCACCCAAAATATGTGGATGTGGATGAGGGTGAGGAGTTGGGGGGGGGGGGGAGAGGAGAGATGAGGGTGTGTTAAGGACCTTAAACAGAGAACGTTTATACATGGCTTTGGAAATCAAAACTGCTTTAGACTGTTGAAAAATGTATCTAGGATGTGCTCCCGATTGATTCTCTCCTATATGGTTAACTATTTTTCTAATGTATATCCATATAATAACGACCAGTTAGGCGTCATTTCCAAGTAAGATGTGTGTACAATCACCGTCGCTAGCACAGGACTACAGGTGTCGGGTTCATGCGGCCGCTGCAGGTGTCGATTTTTTGGAAGCTATCTTGGATATAGACATTAGAAACACTGTCAAAACTACACCATGTTTAGACTACATAGAACATCAAAGAATGAAATGGTTTGGACATCTAACCAGGATGAAAAATGATCAAATAACATCACAAATTTTCAACCAAAGAAGCTCAGGATATAAGGCAAGAGGAAGACCAAGGAAACGGTGGATTGACGGGGTCTCCGAAACCTGCCAAAAGCATGGCCTCAGAACATCAGATGCTGCCCGCCTTGCTTACGACAGGAACTTGCATCTCCCCAAAACGCTTAGCGGCATACGTGGAAGGAAAAAGTAAAAGTAAAGTAAAGTAAGTATCTGGGATCCGCTTCGTAATGCCGGGATGCCGGGTTCGATCTCAGCTGCGGGCCAAGCGCCTTGCTTTGGTTTCGACAGTAGTATCAAGAAAGCCGACCGTCCGGAAAGCAATGCCACACTACTGGACGTAAATTTGCCTAGAAAAAACACACAACAGCCATGGGGTTGTTGGTGTTGGTTCTCCAACGTCCTGTAAAGGATACGCAACTAACCTATCTGTGATCCTCCTTTTTCGTCTGCAATCCATACTAATTTAAGGCGGAATTACCATTCAAGCAGCAGGCCCGGTGGACTGACCGATTAATCAGTGTGCTGTTTGAAGTCACTAAATTAAAGTGTCCATCAACACAATGGATTGCAGAGTATAATGTAGCCTTTGCGGTGCTCTAATTTAAGGTGTCACTACACGGCATTTTTTACAGTTTATGAGAAAAATATCACTTTTTTAATGTGTTCGTTTTTGTAAAGTTTGGCATTTGTAGAATAGATTACACACAAAATGTATGTAATTTGTAAACAATTTAGCATTGAAAAGACACCAACCCATGCTATAGACAGGTCACTGCGATTTCTAGGATTTGCACCCACTTGAGACTCGTTCTCAAGGTGTTAACCTTACGGGCAGCAATCCTGGAGGGCAACAACGTCACTCATTTTAATCTTCTGGAATAATATTTCCATATGACTTGGTCGGGACTTTACGTATAATAACTGCTGAAAAACTGATGAGCTGCTGAAAAATTGATGTGCAGCTAAACATGACTTATGTTATTTGTATCTGTAGGATTCTCTTTCCTGAGGTTTTAATCTTGGAGATTACAACACTAGAGGAGACAGACTACCTACCTATGTATCGTCAAGTCTTCAGTTTGCCGTGCAACCGCCTGGGCTCACAATAAATGTTATAAATTGAACAAGTACTCAGAAAAAAATTATGCACTAAACAAGTCTGACAGCTGTGAAGATTGTACCGGTCGATAACTCTTGAATAATCCTAAAACTATCTCTGAATGAGACCAACAGATTATTATCTATTGTGTCATGTGTAAATCAGTAATGTGAAGATCCATTATCCTCGCCTTTAGGCGTATTGGGAATAGAGGGCTGAAATTTATTTTTATAGACGAATCAGCACTTGGTGGGTGATGTGGTCAGCATCACGCCGACCACCTTTACTTCCCGGTATTACCCGTGCTAACCACTTTTTTTTTTTTTTTTTATCGATCACCGGCTGTGAATTCCAGTGGAAGGTCCCGGTTAATCGTCCGCTTGGACTTTTGGCTTTCACCTGGACCTGATTTTTGCGTGTACAACCGTTTTTCATTTCCCTGCCTCATGGGCAGCTGTACTCCGACTTCGAAGGAAGACGTCAGGCCTATTTCTAGGGTGACTGTGGCCATTGTTTTGTGTGGGTCCAGACGTTGCCTGATTTGTGTGGTGTCCACTTTGTCTCCTTCGCCGCAGGTATTGCCCCCGGAGTACCCCTTTGGGGCAGCCCCCTGTGGAACAGTTAGCCCTCAAGGGAAGGCAGGGGCAGATCATGGGCATTCCCTGCCATCCAAGGAGGCTTCCATGCATGCAGAGCCGGCACATGGCGCTCTGGTTCTGGGCTCACCTAAGGAATCGTCACGTCCTGCACATGCCTGCTTAACCTCACAACCGTATCAGGCCTCGACAGGGGCTGCGCCCTCTGGAAGTCAGCGGGGAGCAGCCCGTTGGTTTTGGACTTTTGTGACCACACAGATAGGTACATTCTTTTTTCTTCGCACGTTGGATTTCTTTGACGAGCCGTTACACGACAGAATTTTACATCCTGAATCAGGCATATCGTTATCAGTTTTGTCCCAACACTCGGGCGAGTGGGGTCTTTGGCTGCGGACATTCGGTCTTTTTCAGTTCAATACAAATTTTGATGGTCAGATTTTGATCCGTATGATCTAGTTTTGTCGGACATTTAGGCTTAGCCATCCGATGGATGGTTGCTGTTGTGGTGTACCTCAGCGCGGTGACGACGACACTAAGGGTTAACCGAGGATGTACAAGGATGGCCAGCCTATGGATGGTTGCTGTTGTGGTGTAACTCAGCGCGGTGACGACGACACTGAGGGTTAACAGAGAATGTGCAGTGAACAATGTTCTCTTTACTCCGCAGTCTTTTAACCAAGGGATGTAATTTTGGCTGTACGTTTGGCAAACCTACTCATGTTCCTAATGAGTTTTGATAACATTTTTCACCCAAGCGTTTGGGGGCGGG